ATGTGAAATTGAAATATTATGGAATGGGGTGAAATTCTGATTGGCTAATTTGAATTTCACATATGTAAATTTGAATTTCACATATGTTGCCGGAATTAGATTTGGATGCTCTTTTGGCCGAATTTAACTAATTCCGAAATTCTTAATTTTTATTACGTATTATTATATTTTATTTATTTCTATTTTTATTTTATTATTTTATCCGTGTTACATCTATTTTCGTAATATGTTTATTTTTATTTTTTATTTTATTTTTATTTCTATTAACAAGTAGATTAATAGCCTCTTTAGTTATACATGTAATGTACACAATATATGTTCACATCTTGATGTTAAAAGTGATAGGAAAAAATAGTTGTAATAATAATTTCATACACTTAGGGATTGATAGTTTTCTATCCATTACATAATAGTGTGAAAACATCAACTGCGGACCAAAGTATGTCTTATTTTTTTTTTAATTAATAGTTGATATGAGAGAAAAATGCATTCTTAATGAAAATATTATTATTACATCATTATTTTCATGTAGAAAATGTTCGAGTGAGCAAAACAAAAATATTTTGGTTTAACTATACAATAAATATTATTAGTTTGCTCTCTGATTTTAGTGAAACAGCAAAATCCTTTTTTAATTGTGCGCAGCAACTGTCAATAAGAAAACAACTTGTTAGATAAATAAATACTGTACAACGAACAAAAATTATTTTCTGCCTCAAAAAAAAAAACATGTTTAATTTGCCACTTGAACTTCTAACTGAAACATTCAAATACATTGAAGATGACTATAAAACATTACATTCTTGTATCCTTGTCAACAAACAATGGCACAATATTAATATTCTGAGTTTATGGAGAAATCCATGTGTTTCTCATAACAGCATCAAAATATTAATTAATTGTATGTTAGAAGAAGATAAGGATTTTTTAACCAGAAATTACATTGAATTAACTTTTAAACTATTGGAGAAACCACCATTACACAATTATGGCAGATTTAGTACTAAACTTTGTTTTTCAAATTATTTTGATTTTGCGATCCAGAGATTTTATCTTGTACAGGAAGTTTTACAAAACAGACTTGTAAAATTTGTTTTAGATCATTCAGCAAGGATTAGAGAACTTAGTACTACCCATATAGATTGTAATTTGTTAATTAATCACCATAGGTTTGATAATATTTTTCAGGATCTTTATGAATTAGATTGTTTTGGTACTGATAGTAGTGAATTTTTTGATAAATTAATAAAAGTTTGTAAAAACATTCAATCATTAAAAATACATTACAATAGCAATGATAAAAATATATATAAATTGGCACAACTAATTAAAGCACAAAAACAAATTAAATATTTAGTTATTGAATCAGCAAAGGATCAAATTTTACCAGATGAATTAAAAAAAGCAATATTAACACATTCACAATCAATAGCTTCTTATGAATCTGGTCACGGAGGAAATAATTTGAACAATTTATTAATACCAACATTTAAAAATTTAAAAACTTTAGCATTAACTATTGGTTATGAATTAGTAAACTACTGGAAAATTATTTCACTACCAAATATTGAATCTTTGAGGGTGTGTGTTATATATCCATATCGACAATCATTCCTAGCAGACTTGTCTTATTTTATTAATATTAATGGAAAAACTCTTAAAAATCTGGATGTTAGTAGTAATGATTTTGATAACAAAATTTATCAGAAGTTACTTCAATCAATTGCACAATCTTGTAAAAATTTAGAAAATTTATCAACAATTTATTATGATGAATTGGATCAGGGATTGATGGAAGTACTCAATAGTTGTATGAAGTTAAAAAGTATTAAGTTCGATACAGAATTTATTAATTTTTTTGATAGTTTTGATGCTGACAAAATATTAACAATATTAAATCAAACACTACCAAAAAAATTAGAATCAGTAATTTTTACTTGTGTGGTTTCAAATATCAATGACTATTCATTAGCTATTCTAATGAAGAATTGGAAAGGACCCAAACCTTTAACAATAAAACTTCTTATTTGTGATAAAGATGATGCATCAAGGAAAATATTAAAAAAATATCAAGATTTAGGATTTTTAAATTTTAAATCGATTAATAATTATATTTATTGATTATACTAAAATAGATGAACAGACAGATCAATTATTTTTAGAAGAATTAACTAAAAATTCTTTTAATATTGGTATAAATTAAAAAAACACATTTTCATTTCAGACTTTTAGAAATATATTAATAAATTATTTTTTAATAATGACCATTATAGACTTTTGATTTACATTATATTTGCGGGAAATTTTAAGTAAAGATCTAGCATATTGTCCTTCTGTCAGCCATTGGATATATAAGGCAGTAAGTTGTTATTATTAAAAATACAATAAAAAGTGTAATCATCTAAAACTTTTTTTTCTTTATATCAATTTCGGATTTGAGGTAAATTTTTATTGCTTTTATTAAAAATATAATAAATAGTATGTAATCATCTAAATCATCTAAAAAAATTTTTTTTTTGGAGATAAATTTTATTGCTTATATTTATTTATGTTGTAGTTATATCATTAAACAAGATTTTAGCAAGGATGCGCAGTGAGCTTTATTAATAATATTTGTGTAATACAAAAAAAAATCTGAGATTCTCATATTTAATATATATATTAATTAATTAATTGGCCAAGACCTCTTTGGTTTACATTTTTTCAATCTTGCATACTCCTGAATTACAGATTGATCAGTTTTTATATTAGAAAAGTCAAAATCTAAGATTCTAAGTGAATCCCAAGAAGGCACTCTGCTCATGGCTACATATACTTGACCAGGTGTGAACATATTTTCATTGACGCTGACAGTTGCATGAGGTAATGTTAATCCCTGGGTTTTGTGCACGGTAAGAGCGAAGGCATTTTGCAGAGGAAATTGTTGTCTTGATGCAGGGCTTTCGTTGATATCAAAGTAATATTTAGTGTATAACAATCAATTCGATTGTTGATTAAATTAAATGCTAATTAAAAATTGTCAAAAATAAATTTCTTTCTTTACGTTAAAGATAATTTGTAGTGTTTTCTCTCATATTATTTTAAATGGTATATATAGAAAATTTAAATTTAAGTTTTTAAGGACCAATCAAATTTCTTTATTTATGAAAAAGTCAAAAATCTGATTGGTTGAAATGAATTATAGCGTTAACACTAACTAAATAAGAATAAACATAAATGTAACATCTATATTTTTTATTACAAAATATGTTTATTTAGAAAGAGTTAGTTCATTTAGTTGTGTCATAGCAAGTATGATTATTTTGAGTGTAATAAGTCATATCCAAGTTAGATAATGCTCACATGAAATTGTGTTTAATTTTTTTGGTGTAATAAAGTTAAAACTTTAATTTAGTAAGCAATTGATTGGTTCAGGTTGTTAATTCAAATTTTTTAGCGAAGCAATAAAAACACATTTTAATTCTCAAATGAATTGGACTTTTTTTATTAAAATTAAAATTCATGAATAATTCATGAATAATTTCCTTCCGTATATGTAAATAATTATTTGCGTAACAAATCTAATCATTAATTAAATAAAAATAAAAAAATAAAAATAACGTTAAATTCTATGTTGGTGTTATGAAAAAATATGAGGACGGCCATCCCATTTACAGTGTTTTGCAAAAAAAATTGCGCATAAATAAAACCGTAAATCTCAACAAGCACACATTGAAAATAAATAAAAATAGATTCATTTGAAAGTTCATTATTTACTTTATTAAATATAAAAAAATTAATACAAAATTCTATCCCCATTTTTTTGTAATATTAATTCACAACGATTTTTCATAGATTTAATTAAATTTTGTACTGTTTCATGGGGGATTTTATCCCATTCTTCAACCATAAATTGTTTCAACTCACTAGTATTTATAGGCATTCTTTCTACATTATTTTTTATGATCTGCCACATATTTTCAATGGGATTCAGATCGGGACTGTTTGATGGCCAGTCTAAAACATGAATATTATTTTGGGATAAAAGTCCTTTGCAACACACGAAGTGTGCTTAGGATCATTATCTTGTTGCAAACACCAGTTTCTACCATACAGTTTTTGAGCAGCAGGAAGAAATATTCACATAAAAAGGACCATCCATTATTTCTGTAAAGCAAAACAAAGGGGTTTTGCCATTCAATGAAATTCCACCCCAAGCCATTACCTTTTGTTGTGATTTTGGTAATCTTCTAACTGGTCTTTCTCCATTTTTATACCATCTTGAAATTTTATTACGAAATAAATCAAAAGCAGTCTCATCTGTAAAGATGATATAGTCCCAGTTATCGTTCAAATGAGCCTGTGCCCATGTTTTTCAAGCATCTAAATGACTGCTGGTAAGAATTGGGGTGGAAAGTGGTATGGCACTATTATACCCCTTTTTTGCCATGTGTCTCCCAATATCAGTATGTGAAATAGATACATTATGTGTATCTTGAATTTGAACCGCAAGTTGACGTGTTGTAATTGCAGAATTATGGTGAACAAGTTGCCCAATTGAACGCGGAACAGTATGTGTAACCTTAGAATGACGGCCATTACCACCAATATGTTTAACAGTGCCTTT